GCTTGCAGATGGCGGTAAATTTGTCAGCATTATGTGCCAGCCACCTTTTACGTCCCAGGTAATTCTTGGTACTCATTTCTGTTAGAGACTGAGTCGGCCCCAGGGTTATAGTGCGGCTGGAAGGATTAGGTACATTTAAAAGAATCTAATGACTTCATCGGGAATCGAACCGGCGACCTTCCGGCTTGTAGTAAAGTGCCTCAACCAACTACGCTACCGCGTTCTTCTTACAGGAAAGTAAAGTAAATTTGTATCTATGCTTCATTAATCTCCATGCCATGAAATTTTATAGGGAAGTTGAGCATATCTCCACGAATTCTTAACTTCGGCAGTAATGTAAATGGGTGATCGGCATCACGCCACTTTAATCCCGAGGAAAAGGCTCCCATTGTATAGGAGACTGGACAGGCCCCAGAACAAAGAATAAAGATATGGAACGTATCAGGTTTCCCGTATCAAAAACCAAAACCCGGTTCTTTGACCGTCCAATCCGCAGCTGAAACTGACAGAGCTACTCCGTCCCACCGGTTATTAACACAGGATGTAATGGCCAGTGCGCTTCACCTACCGCGGTAAGAAGAGTTAGTGACGCAGTTAATTGTGTCATCATTAGGAATTTTCTTTATTATTTCAACATACTTCCGGTATACATATGCGGACGGGAAATTCTAACGTAACTACCTATATAAAATTTTCTTCCGAAAAGTTGCCCATACATACCCCGGTTCAGAGAGTAGGTGAGCTTTAAAATGTAACATATTCCCCATTTCCCCCACCAGACAGTATTCGTATTTCCCCTACAGCGCGCGAAAGAATGATCTACTTAAAATAAAGCGGATATACAAAGGTGTGTTTCCACGTTGGTGAATTTGGAATTTAATGGTGACACTATCACTGAGCTCATACGCACAAGAATGACCCTAGAGTAGGGGTATGTAAACAACTTCCTGGTCAGTAGTTCATATGTGACCCTCATAAAGCACTGAAATGAAGGTCCCTATTTGCTATAGCTGCTCTGCTTCTACCAGATAAGGTGTTCCCACCCTGAGGGAAGGCCCAAAGCAATAATCGATATATCGGGTTCTCTCCACATTTACCCTTTTACAATTGACTTTTTTCACGGATAGAGAAGGAGAGAGAGAGGGGTGGAAAGAGGCAGACAGTCTTATTCACATTTTTATCGACTTTCATCCCCGTACATGGCAAGGGGTTGATGTATATAAGAGGCACTAAACTCATCTACCGATACAAATTGCACATTAATTCCCCCCTCTTGGCTGGAGTAAGTGTTCGTCGGCAGTTCGCCTTCACAATGGCGTAGGTAGGACGAGGATGAGTACTGTGTAGTTACAATGAATAGTTACGAACAAGTCAATGGGGAATTTTTATGACGCCTCGTCGTGGTTAATTTCCGTAATGGAGTACGATATTTTTACTTTGGACATATTTCGACTACCATTTCAATGTGTAATTTAAGATATTCCACAGAACTTTTTCTTTTGGGCAGGGGGAAATATTTTTCAAAGATGTCAGTACCTCAACCTTCATATCGTCGAATGTTAATGATCGAGGTACTAATCCGGCATGTGTCTAGAGAGGGGGCATTATGCTACAAGCCAGAATGTCGCAGGTTCAATTCCCGAAGAGGTCATTAGATTTTTCAATTGAACTAATACTTCCAGCCGCACTATGGCCTTGAAGTCGTCTCAGCCTCTAACAGAAATGACTACCAGGAACCTTCATGGGTGTAAAAAGTAGACGGCGCATAAGGCTGACAATCTCATCACCATCTGTGAGTTGATTGTCCAGAAAATGTGGGAGCCTCGACGTCTCATAATCCTATAGCAGGGATAGCTTTATCTTTTTAATCAAGATCTGTGTCAAATAAGACCAAGGAAAATCAGGAAACATTTTAATCCTGATATTACGTGCCCTGACCAAGGTTCGTCCCGAGAACATCCCGAATAGGAATGTGGGCTGTTACCGCTAAGCCAACCTGCTCAGTGGCCCTTCGTTTCCAAGAGAGCAATCCAAAATTTGGTTGTGATTTTTTTGCACGCCCCCATTAGAACCGTAACATTTAGTTTAGCACTGCAGAAATTGAAGAGCCGGGGTAGCCTAGTCGGTATAGCGGTTGACTACGGGCTGGACGACCGAAGGTTCGGAGTTCGAGTTCCGGTAGGATCAAGAATTTTCCCTTCTCCACGTCATCCAGACCGGCTCTTGGGTCTACCCAACTTCCTATCCAATGGGTACCGGGGCTCTTTCCCTGGAGGTGAAGCGGCTGTGTCGTAAAGTTGACCACTCACCTCCATCTAGTGCTGATGTCATGAATGGCGGAGTTAAACCTCCACTCCCCCATACGTCTCCATGACGTGATGCATAATCAATTAGGAACAGGAACACATTTAAAATGCCTTACGTTTATATTTCATCTACGAAATTAGCTCTGAAGTGATGGCCTGAGTGTTTTCAGAAAACATTTCAGTTTATACGAAAGGATAAGATTTCCCAATCAGTCAATATAATTAGAGTGATTACAGTAGTGTGAATGTGATGTGTTGTATGCACGAGAGAAATGAGAATTACACAAAATCACGTGATTTATGTGAAAAATCTGGAAGGAAGAGATCCGACGGGAGACATAACTGTACCTAAGAAAATACTACTACAAGAAGTTCTGGGAAGAGACAATCGCATAGTTCCCTTTGATATGACACGGACCGCATAGGCGAAAATAAAACTATGGTGACACACAGACGCTCATGGAACAAGGTGACCTCATAAGTCTCCTTTTAACTTTTCATTATACAGAAGGTGAATAAAAAATTAATCATAAATAAATGGTATATGAGGATATAGAAAGGACTCAGCTGGCTTAAGATAACTTTTTATGCCGAAATTATTATAGCATCTGCTGATTCCATAAAGTGTGAGGAATTTATTGACAAGCTGAGCGACTTACTAGAACTTTTCATTGGATTTTTTATTTAGTTAACTAAGGTGCAGTTTAGTCGCTGGCTTCCCATCGCGGCGGCCCGTGTTCGATCCCGGGTCTGGTCAAGTAGGATTTGTGGTGGACAAAGTGGCGCTGGGGCAGGTTTCCCTTGTTAATCTTCATTCCACCATTTGCTCCACAATCACCCTCAGCTATCATCTGGGACTGGTACAGTACAAGGGACTTTGTCCCACCCCACTAGCAATAAGAAAAAAGGTGCAGCTCCATAGGAATTACATTTCTCACATTCTGGCCATGTGGACCTGTTATATCTGCACTTTTATAAGGGGATACTGACGTTTCGGAGACAAAAGCAGTAGCTCACCGCCTGCTTCTCATGATTTATAGCGCCCCTTATTCTTCGACCCTAAATGCAGGGGCGATATGTTCTTCCGAAACGTCGGCTTCCTACGAATTACTCAGCGCTACAACCCAAGTTACTGTTCTCTTCAATGTTGAGATTGAATTTAAAAAGTTAGAGACGTTTTAAGAAAAGTGTAGTTTTATATTCAGGGGCCCCTGTGAAGAACCCATACTTTTGGAGCTAAAATATTGTCACGTGTTGGGTATATGTCACGCGACAAATAACTTCACGCCGTATTGGATCTAGGGAATTTATTCCATATTCGCTCTCACACTCACACAATTCACAATCACAATTACTGCCAACGGCAGTATCACAATTACATTCACTGATCTCGGCGACTGCTAGACTTCTGCTGCACTCGGCGACTTCACGATCCGCACTGTGTCACTCCTGATCACACTCTCTCTTCACATACTGCTCAGCCGGCTTTTTATGCCGTTCACTGTTGCCTCGTGTTACGAGAGATGTCCCCTTGTTACGTCACAGTGGGAAGTGGTGTTACGTCACCGTGTGGGAAGGGGACGGAGTGTTGACTGGCCTGTTACCGTAGCAGCGGCAGTTGCCCCGATGTTGTTACGTTACCGCGGCAATGGTTGCCTGACACATTTGTTCTTCTGTTACGTCACCGTGGGGGAAGGGGACGGAGTGTTGACTGGCCTGTTACCGTAGCAGCGGCAGTTGCTCCGATGTTGTTACGTTACCGCGGTAATGGTTGCCTGACACAGTTGTTCTTCTGTTACGTCACCGTGGGGGAGGGGATGTTTACCGAACGTTGCGTAATGATGGAAGAGTGAGGGTATGTCACGTCACTCGCGAGACCGCAGAGTTCACGTGACCCCTACTTCCTGTTGCGCCATCCACGCCACAATATTATTATTTACCGAACTCTGACCTGTGACAGAGAAACTCCTAAATATCGAATATGAATAAAATCCGTCCAACCGCTCGGAAGTTATCGAGACATACATACATACATAGACACAGAGACATATACACACATAGACAGTTCTGCAATCACAGTACAACGTATAAGAGCAGTAAAATGTGTAACTACTCCCGTAACAAACCGTGGAAGCCTATAGGATTCTGAGACGTCGAGGTTCCCTCATTTTCAGGACAATCGACTCACACATGGCGGTGAGACTGTCAGCTTTACGCGCTGGCCGCTCTTTACCCAACAGAAAGATTGCTGTTATTCATTTCTGTTAGAAGCTGAGTGGACCCCGCGGCTATAGTGAGATTGGAAGGATTAGGTCAATTAGAATATTCAATGATCTCATCGGGAATCGAGCCTGAGACCATCCGGCTTGTAGCATAGTGCCCCAACTAGCCACGCTACCGCGTGCCTAGCCCTAATACTACTTTCAAGCGACAGTAAATTTGTTCAGGACTGAGGACANCCCAGAAAGATTCCTGTTATTCATTTCTGTTAGAAGCTGAGTGGACCCCGCGGCTATAGTGAGATTGGAAGGATTAGGTCAATTAAAATATTCAATGATCTCATCGGGAATCGAGCCTGAGACCTTCCGGCTTGTAGCATAGTGCCCCAACTAGCCACGCTACCGCGTGCCTAGCCCTAATACTACTTTCAAGCGACAGTAAATTTGTTCAGGACTGAGGACAATTGACTTGTACCTGTTGTCCGTTGACGAACCACGTGAGATTGGCTGCGGGGTAGGACGCACGTGACGTGCAGTTAGCCCGTATCTTCTCTCCCAACGAATACTTGTGTTTCTCAGCGAACAGAGTCGGGTCGCCCTCAGGAAGGTCTGTAAACAATAACAAAGTTACATACAATGAACGATTCTGTGTAAAGTGCGTCTGAAACATCTTTGATGATGCGTCATTATCAGGTAATGACGTAGGTTGTTTAATCGTCATTAGAAAGTTACCAGATTTTGTTTGCAGCTTGAGTTAGAAACCAAAACCGCCATACTGGAGGTCTCGAGAGAGGATTTACCATATGTAAGATTGTCAACTGCAGGAATGACGTAACTACAAAGATATTTCTGACACACAATATCTAATATTGAGGATGTTTGAGAACAGGGTGCTGAGGAGATGTAGGGATCTAAAATTGAAGGAATAATATGAGGTTGGAGAAAATTATATAATTAGTAGCTTCACAATTTCTATTCTTTACCAAACAATGTTAAGGAGATCGAGTCAAGAACGATGTATTGGACAGGGCATATAATATGCATAGGAAATGCGAGAAGCCTAAAATATCTTAATGAGAGAACGAGAAGAGATAAGAGAGGTAGCCACTAACGGGATTATAATATTAGAATGGAGCTTCATGAAATTAAGTATTAATGTGTGAACTGGATTCAACTAAATCAGAATACGCACCAGTGGCGAGCTGGTCTGAATTTGATAAAAAGAGGTAAAGCTATCCCTGTACCAGGCACTGGAGGGCCATAGGGTTGTGAGACGTCGGGGCTCCCAGATTTTCTAGACCATAGATTCACAGATGGCGGTGAGGTTGTCAATTTTCTGCGCCGGCTGTCCCTTACTCACAGGAAGATTCCTGGTACTTATTTCTGTTAGAGGCTGAGTCGACCCCAGAGTTACAGTGCAACTGGAAGAATTGGGTCAATTGATAAATTCAATGACCTCATCGGGAATCTAACCCGTGACCTTCCGGCTTCTAGCATCGTGCCTCAATCAACTACGTCACGGCATGGCAATGAAATTTGTGCTCCACAAGATTTGCGAAATATCTTGATTAGCTCAGCAACTACTAGCTTCTCAATGAGAATTTTATTTTTGAAATTAGTAAATTAGTTATGTAAGATTTGAGGTTTTCAGGGCGGTGACTATGAAGGAGGAACGTCGGTTAACACAATTTCTACACAGCGCCACATCCCATAAGACGGATTTTTTCATAGTAAATTAATTGATTCCTAAACAGTATGGATTGAATAAAATAAGAATTAATGAAATATATTGTAACACGTTACAATTTCCTGACTTCAGATCATATGTACAAAATTACAAGAAAAATATCTGGGTAGCTAAACCCAAATGCCACATTGTTGAAGATCAGATAGTACTTACGACTCTCATGAGATCAATAAGCAACTCATAGTGTTTACTCCTAGGTGCCCCATTGCTGGAGATCACATCGTGCCTACGACTCTAATAAGATGAATAAGCAACTAATAGTGTTTACTCCTAGGTGCCCCATTGCTGGAGATCAGATGGTGCCTGCGACTCTCATAAGATGAATAAGCAACTAATAGTGTTTACTCCTAGATGCCCCATTGTTGGAGATCAGATCGTACCTACGACTATCATGAGACCAGATTTGATCTCGGTGTGGAAGAGTGGAGCGTCCGCCGACACCTCGCACTTGTAGAACCCCGTGAGGTCACGCTGCACATCTCGTAGAGCCACCGTCCAGGCGTTTGACTGGGAGATCTGCAAGCGTAAAAACGTGAGCACTTTAATTACACGTTTAAGATTCATAAACACACATGCAGCAAGCTGCTACGACGTAATTTACAAGGATTAACTAGTATTATTTTTGTGGCGTATTGGCTCTATGCAGGAACTGTTGAGCCCCAGAGGCCTCGGGGCACTCGCGCAACGTGTTGCAGATTGTATCGGTGCGTTGCTAGGCGACAACTCTGTGAATGCTTGGATAGCGAAACAGGAAGTGAGGGTGACGTCACTTACCCCACTCATCCCATAACTACACAGTAGTTATATTGTGTCTGTCTTGGCACGATGGGATAGCTCCACCATGAGATGTAAGTTAGGAATGATCTGCTCTGTAAAGCCTGTACTGAAAAAGGACTTGTGTGTAAAGGAAAAGGAAGAGTTTTCGATAACATATTATATGCGCGAAATATACACTTGACGAAAGGTCGAATGTATTCATAAGAGACAAACCCATCTTCTCGTCAGAGAGGATGTTACATAAGGACTATTACCGCAAGAGTTCAGTTGGAAAAAGAAAAATTCTTGTCGTGGGGCTCAAGGGGCTGATACTAAGACGAACTGATTGGCAGTAAACCGCCAGTCGTAAAGGAAGTCTTGACTGTGACTGTTGAACCAGAGAGAGATATACGTATATACTAGCATTAAGAGAGTATTCAGTATGATTTGAAGTCCAGCAGCTACGAGTTGAGTTGAATTGAGTGAATGGAATTGACTACAGGAGAAGTATTTGTGATACTGCAGATGGAAGTAACTGTGAAATTGTGACTTGTGTAAGTGTAAGAGCGAGTGTACAATAAATTCGTTAGTTCCAGATCGGAGTGAAGTTATTTGTCGCGTTACCAACACCCAACACATAACATTATCTTCTGGGTTACTACACCTTGTAGCCTGATAAATGCTTACAGACGCGTTTCAGCATAACATAGGACCAAAGTTATTTACACTGAAGATGGAAGCAACATGGTCCTCTGAAACTTTCATATGCACCTACAAGTCGCATAAAACAGCAATACAAAATTCTCAGATGTGGAAAAACGCCACTTTAATATTGTCATTTCTTTACGTCGTTTTAAATAATCCATCGATGTGATTATTGTTTGCTTCCTTCTGGTTGCTTGGCTTTATTCTTCAACCTTGCAAATGGAGACGACATGTTCTTCCGACATGTCCGTTGACTTTCAACGGACTATATGGATTATGCCCCAGATGATATAAATCTTCATAAGCATCGCTGTGAAAACCTCAAATGTTATGCAGACACTCATTTAGACATTTAGTTAGCGGTAAATTGTCTCTGCTCCTAAATGGTTAACTGCTACAACATGAAGAAGTATGGGAGAGTGGAGGAATAGCTCCACCATTTTTGGCCTCTGTAATAGACGAAGATGAGTGCTGAGCTTCATGCTTCTGCCGCTTGAATCAAAGGTAAAGTCCGCGGTACCCACTGGATAGGAGGATGAGTGGATTCAAAAGTCGATTTGGGCGATGTATTTGCTGGGACTCGAACGGTGACAACTTGGCCGTACATCCCGTAGCAAAGTCGCTGTGCCAACTGAGCTATACCGGGCTACTTTATACAGTTATATAAATTTTAATATTGTGACATGTAGACTCACTTCTAGGCTACGCCCGAAATACGTGCACGTAACAATAGAAAAGGTACTGCAAGAAGTGTTTTCTATGTGGTCTGTGCCATGATCATTGTTAGGCAACGGGTCGCTAAACACATTTCCCCAGAGGCAAACGCGGGGAACAATAGGATACTTATTGCTAGGCAACGGAACTGTAAAAACGGTGTTTTCCGTGGGGATCCGTGCCTAGGAGTTATAAGAGGGCAGTGTCAGCAGTCGGAACGGATTGACCGACCGTCAGTCGCAATGTGACTTTGACTTTGACGGAACGGAGTATACAACAGTAGAAGGGAGTAGTCGAGTGAGGTCTCGGAATTGGCGGCTGCAGAAATGGCAACAAAAAAATCGGACTATGACAAGAAGACCTCACGTATAATTTGAGGTTACAGCGGTATTGTGATAAATCCGTTTCCAGGATACGACCAGTGAAGACTGAGAACCCTAATGTGAATGCAATGGTGAGCTGGAACGTGTGTAGAACAGCGATAGCGCTGTATTAGCTGTAGTCCCGAAATGTGGGAATGTATAAGGTGCAGTAAGTCCAGTTATAAGAGGCCTCCGTAGTCTAGAGGTAACGTTCCCACCTCATGACTCGTGGTACGCGGGTTCAAATACCCGGCGGAGGTCATCGAATTTTTAAGGGCGGAAAAATTCAAGGAACAAGTCCTCCGGGAGGGACTTTAAGCTGTGTGTCCAGTGTCGTAACTTTACGGCATGTAAAAGAACCTATCCTCAAAGGGGATCACTGAGCCAAATTCCAGGACGTTTCCCGCCCAAAAATAGTCTCTAAGGCCTCTGATAGATGGGGGAAGCATTATAGACACCGCTAAGCAAGTGGCCGAACTCGCTTGCTGGGCGGGACTGATGGCACGCACCATTTATCGGTAGGGTATAGAGACTGGTAGAATATCATAGAGGGAAGCACAATGGACCAATACTGGTCTAAGTGCATGGGAAAACCCACCCTCTCCAATAACTAACTAACTAAGTCCAATTATTAAATGCGAAACCCGTGATTATTAGTCACGCAAACCGCGGATACGTGACAATATGTATCATTAAATGAAGTTGATTCTATTTTCGACATATCATGCACCAACCAACTACCAAGTATGACATGTGGGAAGCATCCCACAGGTTGAGGAACACTGTAATATTGACTTGTGAACGGGTTGCGTTAGCTCCTCCTTATGATAATGGGGCCTACAGCCGTGACGAATGCTGCCTCGGGCAGATACCTTACATCCGATGCAGCTTAGCACCGAGACATCTCTGCTTTCCGGGATATAATTAGGTAAATGCGGCTTCTGCTGCCAGCAAGAGCGGCTTAAGTGACGGGAGATGGTGTCGAGTGGGTCACGTCTCCTGCTTGTTCTACAGGTAACGAACGGTACACTCATGGAAATCAGTCGTGCACTGTTTCATGAAGGTGTGACCCTCTACAATCTGTTATGCTTAATTCATGTTTGTTTATATTTCACGACGCTGTCAGTGTTGAGATTATATTGTGGTATGACGCCTGAAAGCCGAAATAATGGGGCCAGAGTAAACGTTCTTTGTTAGGGAACTACTCGATAAGCAGGTTCCCTCAGCAACGAATGCACAAGAAACAATAGAGGTTTTGTTGGGATATAACGATGGAAACGGTGTTTTCTGTTGGGTCCGCCCCGAGGATCCCAGATCTGCTGAGGAAATAATTGAGGGAGTCTCTTGAGGTGGTAGTCGAAGATGATTTAGAATAAATGGCAAGAAAGGAATTAAGCTGTGTAAATAAGACTTCATGTGTGCTGCAGTTACAGTGAGACTGGTATAATTGCTGCGTTGGAATCCGCTGCCAGGATATGACCAGTGAATACTGAGAACCCTAGTGTGTAACGGTGAACTGTAAAGTGTGTAGATCAGTGATAGCGCTGTATTGTCTGTAGTTACGAGTTGAATGAAAAAGTGCAATAAATCCCACATGACCTGACACGGGATGGAGCCGTACGTCTGCAGTGGGAAACTGGCGACTGACCGCCTGAATTAGAGCAAAAATGTTTAGACTGTTGTCCCACGCTGTCATCAGTTATACCATTAAGCGTCAAGTGGTAAGAACCTAGGCGAATCGTGAGTCGGAAAGAATACGTAGCGGAGCTGTCGTAACCGAATGGAGATTTCTACTACGAAACTTGTCTATGGGGACTGATGAAAAGCACAAGAAATATCAGTGAAGATAAATGGTGTCACGGTCAAGATTCGAACCAAGAGCCTCCCGAATAATTGCTAGACCAATCGATTCGGTGACGCAGTGTATTCTGGTAGAATGGGAAGAACATTTGTGGGAAAAACGATGCCTCCAAGACTCTTCTAACCTGAAGATATCTGGCCCGAGCTGCCTACATGACATCACATTCCAGAAGAAAGTGACCTCTCAAGGCGGTAAGAACCTCATGCGTTACCAGTTTTTAGTCTACTTTTCTTATTCTGAAAGAAATTAAAGCTGGCTCATGAGATCATCTTACTCTGTGTCTGTGTCCCTCCAAATCTTCTCGTTCTCTCTATAGTCCTTGTCGTGTGTAGGGAAAGCAGCCGATATGTTCTTCCCAGAACTTCTTGTAATATTATTCCAGATAATTCCTCCAGATATTCCAACTACAGACCTGTAATCACTTATCACATCCAAATGTGTGATACAAGTCCCTACCACCTCCCACACCTTCCAATAATGTCCTCAACATTTCATGTTTAACAAAGTTAGAAACTTCTCACTTTGCATTGTCGATATAGCAAGTAGGCCATTTTCTAGATGACACTGGTATCGGAGTTTGATTCCCAGCAGAGGCAGAAATCTCTCCTTTCTCCACAGCGTCAAGACTGACCCTCACGTCCAGCCAGTCCCCTATCAATTAGATACGTTAGAGGAAGAGGCAAAGCGGCCAGAGCAATTAACTGACTCACCTCCATCTAATGTCGAGACTACGAATGCGTAGAGCTAGTTGGTTGAGGCACTATGCTACAAGCCGGAAGGTCGCGGGTTTGATTCCAAATGTCACTGGATTTTTCAGTTTACCTAATACCTCCAGCCGCATTATGGCCCTGGGGCGACTCAACCTCTAACAGAAATGAGTACCAGAATTTTTTCTAAAGGGCGGCCGGCGCGTAAGGCTGACAACTTCACAGCCATCTGTGAGCTGATTGTCTACAAAATGTGGGAACCTTAACGTCTAACACCCCTATGGGCCTCCATAGCTTTACCGTTCATTGTTATACCTGTCATTCACAAATATTCACAGCGCGGTGCAGCAACTTCACGTTCTGCCTAATTATGTACTTTCCTCCAGCCTGCAGAGCGGGTTAGTGTAGCTG